TAACTCTGGATTTTATAACCATTTTTTTAATTCAGAAAGTCAAAATCATTTTTTTTTTCGGCAACAAAAGTTATTTATTTATAGACCTGTGTAATCTTTCCAAAAATTTGCTCACCCATCTAACGTTATTACTTAACATTTTCATACGTATTATTTAATGTCTCGTCTATTATCGAATTATAATTTTCAATGTTTATCATTATTATATGTTATTTTTATTAGCTGTCATTAATTTTATTTTATTATCATTCAAACATTTATTTGTTCTATACTTCTATATTATTTTTATACTTTAATATTATTTCGTTAATTTTTTCCTTAATACTATATTTTAAAGTTATAGTAAAATATGTTTAATAGTTTAAAAGTCTTATCTATGCTGTATGATATATCGTAATCATGTATTTTACGAAAGGTGAGGATAATGAAAACAAACCTTATCCATTGGAATAACATGGAGTTGATATTTGACAACAAATATTTTCAGTTCTATGTTGAATTTTAAAATGTAGCTTCCATCACGACACGCCGTTTTATTACATTTATTCACAGAAAAATAAATTTGAAAACAAAAGAAACCATTAAAAATAGAATAAATGATGTCATATTTTAACCCAGCAGTTCAATACATAAATTAAACAATATCATCAGTGCCTGTTTTAAAGAAACAAAGGTTTAGATTTCCCTCAAGAGCAACTTAAATAGTATTGGCTGACAAATTAATTTGTTTAAAAAAATTCATTTAAAATACTTATTAAAAGTTACTAATATTAACAATAGTAAAACTTCAACACGGTTAAACGGCCTTAATGCGGTGTAAGTGTTAAACACCCTTATTAGCAAAGTTGTGGCCGAAGTTTACATTTCTTAAACGTGAATGTGGAATGTCGAGCGACGCTATCTTGTAAGCGCGGTCGACGTCGGACGTTCACTTTTATGAAATAGTCAGGTGCTATGAATTAAAGTAATCACTTTAGTTCAATGCACAGCATATACAATATTTTTAACTGATTAGTAAAATTCTTTTATATTTATTTATTTAGACATACTGGAAAGAACTCATGATGCGGAGAATACAAAAATCATTACAAACCAAACAAATATTACAATCCATAAGTTATTACAGAGAAAATTAACATATACATAAATAAAACAAACAAATTATACAAACATTATAATTGATACCAAAAAAAAATATTTAAGCNGATGTAACATATCATTAAAAATGTACACATGCACTTTTTGCAACCTCACATTGACTTTTTCCTGAAAACTGTGGATCTGTCTGTGACAGATATAGGTAGAATTTCCACCAAAACATTGCTTGTATGGAAAAGTGATACCTAGGGTAATAGAGTCCCTAACATTAGCAGATTACTGCTAGAACATTACATGTGGAACGCTTTCAGATTTATACAAGAAGTCTGTAAATAAGTGTCATACATGTAAGTGATGTCCTGGGTAATTCATGCTTCCACTGTTTATTTAGATTTTATGTATCAAAAAGTGTTCTGAATGGTTTCTGTGTTACAACTCATATAAAAAATTACGTTACGTGTATGTATTCAGATGTATCTTATGCAATTTATTAAACGTTGATGTACCTTGTAAACCTGAGCTAACTCTGGATTTTATAACCATTTTTTTAATTCAGAAAGTCAAAATCATTTTTTTTTTCGGCAACAAAAGTTATTTATTTATAGACCTGTGTAATCTTTCCAAAAATTTGCTCACCCATCTAACGTTATTACTTAACATTTTCATACGTATTATTTAATGTCTCGTCTATTATCGAATTATAATTTTCAATGTTTATCATTATTATATGTTATTTTTATTAGCTGTCATTAATTTTATTTTATTATCATTCAAACATTTATTTGTTCTATACTTCTATATTATTTTTATACTTTAATATTATTTCGTTAATTTTTTCCTTAATACTATATTTTAAAGTTATAGTAAAATATGTTTAATAGTTTAAAAGTCTTATCTATGCTGTATGATATATCGTAATCATGTATTTTACGAAAGGTGAGGATAATGAAAACAAACCTTATCCATTGGAATAACATGGAGTTGATATTTGACAACAAATATTTTCAGTTCTATGTTGAATTTTAAAATGTAGCTTCCATCACGACACGCCGTTTTATTACATTTATTCACAGAAAAATAAATTTGAAAACAAAAGAAACCATTAAAAATAGAATAAATGATGTCATATTTTAACCCAGCAGTTCAATACATAAATTAAACAATATCATCAGTGCCTGTTTTAAAGAAACAAAGGTTTAGATTTCCCTCAAGAGCAACTTAAATAGTATTGGCTGACAAATTAATTTGTTTAAAAAAATTCATTTAAAATACTTATTAAAAGTTACTAATATTAACAATAGTAAAACTTCAACACGGTTAAACGGCCTTAATGCGGTGTAAGTGTTAAACACCCTTATTAGCAAAGTTGTGGCCGAAGTTTACATTTCTTAAACGTGAATGTGGAATGTCGAGCGACGCTATCTTGTAAGCGCGGTCGACGTCGGACGTTCACTTTTATGAAATAGTCAGGTGCTATGAATTAAAGTAATCACTTTAGTTCAATGCACAGCATATACAATATTTTTAACTGATTAGTAAAATTCTTTTATATTTATTTATTTAGACATACTGGAAAGAACTCATGATGCGGAGAATACAAAAATCATTACAAACCAAACAAATATTACAATCCATAAGTTATTACAGAGAAAATTAACATATACATAAATAAAACAAACAAATTATACAAACATTATAATTGATACCAAAAAAAAATATTTAAACAAAATATCCAAATATAAAAGAACACAAAATTATGGGAACAATTATCCAAACCAAAACATTATGTACAAAAATTAATTACACCCAGTTTAAGTTATCTCGTAAAAACGTAAATAGTCTCCCAAAACTTAGCCACAAACACATTTTAAAAGGAAAAAAAACATATGCCATATTTGGGCAAAATCGAATACTCCAATATGCAAAACCAAACAAAAATATACGTCACACACCGTACTAACGATCACAATAAGGTCCAAAATTCTCGAACAGAATAATAAATATATTAAAACACTTTCACGAATTTTTTCTAAATTAGTACACCTAGCTACCACGCGAAAAGCATCCAATAGCTAATCACCCTAATAATATATGCAAATTTTTCTGCAATAATTCTATAAGAGAAAAAACATCTCGTCAAGGTGTGGATAGTCTCTACAAATTTGTTTTTATAATATATAGGTCAGTGATCATTATAGTTTTTAGAACTGATTATAATTGGTGAAATTATAATCAGTCTTTTCTTTCGAGACACATTTTAAGTTAATTATAATTTTAATTGACTTTTTAACTCGTTTTATATTCGGGACATATTTGTTTAGTTGCCAAATTTGTATTATTGCAGTGCGCTTTTTATTATACAAAATTCACTAAGTGGATTGAAAAATCTGTTTTTATTTTTTTAAAATGCAATCAAATAACGTAAGTAAAATGTTTAATATGTTTTTTTGAGATTTTACTTATATTCCAAATTGTAACAAGAAAAAAATTTTAATGTAATATCGAAAAAATACATATATAGTACTATTATGTTTTGATACAACTAGAAAATATTTCTGAAAAAATTAATAATTAATTAAATTACTTATAATCATTTAAAAAACGTATTTTTGTTTTTAAAGGATCAAAACAGTTCACCTTTGTGTAGTTTATGTAATACGACACTTCATTCAAAATCACTGCTTGATAAGCACATAAGAAAATTCCACAGTGAGAAACAATTTACATGTGAAACTTGCGGAAAAGAGTTTAACTGCCGTAGCAAACTAGAAGATCACAGTAAAAAACATTCAGAAGAAACACCATTCCAATGCAAGTACTGTGAATTCGCAACAAAATATGAAAGAAATTTAAAAAGGCATATCAATACAATTCATCAAAAGACAATCCCGTTGGAAGTTATGACTGTAAGAATTTGTTTTATTTTTTGTATTTAATTCGATAAAATTATATANGCCCTGTTAGAATTGTTCATTGTTATCAGTTTGATTTGTAAAGATTCTCACCTCTTAAAGCTTTGAGCTCTGTATGAACACAATTTAATTCAAAAAGATTAATGTAGTTTTAAGTAGGCCAAACTCCACAGAAGTCTTTTTCTACCCTGTTTTTTTTTTATTTCTAATTGCTTCTATGGCTTTACCTATTTTCTTTTGGGTAGTTCAACTTTTCCGTGGGGCCTGCAATTAGTTGGAGCCATCTGAAACATCATTTCAAATGGTCTTAGTTGAAAATTGAATTACATTTGAAATACAGCTGCTTGACATAGAAAAAGCTTGCGTCCTATGTTATATTTGTTATATTAAAGGTTTTAAATTTTGTTCAAAGGGATATTATAGTAAGCAAAGAGAATTAAATAGAATATCATTGATTGAAACACCTTTGTTCAGTTACAACTGTTGAGTCTGCTGAATGCAGCCATTAATATTTTATAAGATCCATGCTATTCTATTCATTCTTGTCATGTGAAGTTTTAAGATTACAATCCAGATGTGATTAAAATTTGAATCTCTAGAAACAGAAAGTGAACATTCTTATGTACAAGAATTTAGTGTAATTGGGAGGAGGAGGAAAGGATTTAAAAGCTCTTATTCAATTGTGTTTTAGAATGAAAACTTTTTACACTGTAGAAACTGAAAATCCTCCTTCCACAAGTTCAGCTGGATTTGTTGAGTATCAGTGGCACACTCAGGATTTACTGTTGGGAGCCAAGTTGAATTGAAAAAATTTTTTAATATGAATTCAATAAAATACCTTATGTAGTATAGAAATTGAACACATCATAGAATATAAGTAAAAAAAAACTTTTAATTGAGAAAGGATTATTGGAAAATTTTCTATTTACTTTTTTTTTCTTTGAAGGAGGCTCCCTTCAAAGGGCCGCATAGTCCCCCAGGGTGAACTACTGTTAGTAGTAATGTTTATTCTCTATTTATTATGATTTTAAATGAATTGATTTTCTTTTCAGATTAATCTTCTAAAAGCAAATGGCAGTGGAGGAAAGTACCTAATAGCAATAACTGATCAAGTAGGCAAAGGGCCAGCCTTCAGAGTGGACGGGGGATACATCAATCCGGATGACATCAAATCCTACAAGCACAGATGCTTGCTCTTTAGTATCCTGAATGCAGCCAGACAGATGTCCTATTTACCAATTTCATCATACCAATTGTATCTCCTGAAGGTGTTATACCTCTTTGAGTTGCGTAAGTGCCCAGTCCTCATTATTTTTCCTTTGATCAAATATATTTTGACCTTGTCCTTTATTTATAGGCAAGATTGAAGCATCTGAATTGTGTACCGTCTATCGGAAAGCAACAAAATTATGTACGGAATGTTCAGTTCTATTGCATGAAATAAGCAGTCCAGAGCAAATGATGACTTTTCGAGCAGTTTTTTGTCTGATAGATTTTATTGGCAGAAAACTGAAGACTGGAAACAAAAATAGCAGAGATATTGAAAGAAGGATCGAGGCTTTTTGTAAGTAGTGTAACAGTCATTTTTTTATTGTAGGCTTTTAACATATTCAACTTATTCTGTTTGTATGTCTGTCCAGAATCTTGTAACTCATTTTTCATCCACTATCCAATTTTCAATCTTGTTGAAGCTTTTTATATATATGTATTCTCCATGACAATACATTATATTAAATTTGCAANTTCAAAGGGATATTATAGTAAGCAAATAGAATTAAATAGAATATCATTGATTGAAACACCTTTGTTCAGTTACAACTGTTGAGTCTGCTGAATGCAGCCATTAATATTTTATAAGATCCATGCTATTCTATTCATTCTTGTCATGTGAAGTTTTAAGATTACAATCCAGATGTGATTAAAATTTGAATCTCTAGAAACAGAAAGTGAACATTCTTATGTACAAGAATTTAGTGTAATTGGGAGGAGGAGGAAAGGATTTAAAAGCTCTTATTCAATTGTGTTTTAGAATGAAAACTTTTTACACTGTAGAAACTGAAAATCCTCCTTCCACAAGTTCAGCTGGATTTGTTGAGTATCAGTGGCACACTCAGGATTTACTGTTGGGAGCCAAGTTGAATTGAAAAAAATTTTTAATATAAATTCAATAAAATACCTTATGTAGTATAGAAATTGAACACATCATAGAATATAAGTAAAAAAAAACTTTTAATTGAGAAAGGATTATTGGAAAATTTTCTATTTACTTTTTTTTTCTTTGAAGGAGGCTCCCTTCAAAGGGCCGCATAGTCCCCCAGGGTGAACTACTGTTAGTAGTAATGTTTATTCTCTATTTATTATGATTTTAAATGAATTGATTTTCTTTTCAGATTAATCTTCTAAAAGCAAATGGCAGTGGAGGAAAGTACCTAATAGCAATAACTGATCAAGTAGGCAAAGGGCCAGCCTTCAGAGTGGACGGGGGATACATCAATCCGGATGACATCAAATCCTACAAGCACAGATGCTTGCTCTTTAGTATCCTGAATGCAGCCAGACAGATGTCCTATTTACCAATTTCATCATACCAATTGTATCTCCTGAAGGTGTTATACCTCTTTGAGTTGCGTAAGTGCCCAGTCCTCATTATTTTCCCTTTGATCAAATATATTTTGACCTTGTCCTTTATTTATAGGCAAGATTGAAGCATCTGAATTGTGTACCGTCTATCGGAAAGCAACAAAATTATGTACGGAATGTTCAGTTCTATTGCATGAAATAAGCAGTCCAGAGCAAATGATGACTTTTCGAGCAGTTTTTTGTCTGATAGATTTTATTGGCAGAAAACTGAAGACTGGAAACAAAAATAGCAGAGTTATTGAAAGAAGGATCGAGGCTTTTTGTAAGTAGTGTAACAGTCATTTTTTTATTGTAGGCTTTTAACATATTCAACTTATTCTGTTTGTATGTCTGTCCAGAATCTTGTAACTCATTTTCATTCACTATCCAATTTTCAATCTTGTTGAAGCTTTTTATACATATGTATTCTCTATGACAATACATTATATTAAATTTGCAAACAATAATACTAAGGATACGGTGAAAGTTGTTTTAAGAAAATTTGTTTTACTTTTTATTGCTTATATATGAATAAAAAGAATTTCTTTAAAATTTTTCTTAATATTTTTACTTTTAGTAGAGGCCAATCCAGGAAAGATTCATTTTCCAAATCCAGTAAGTAACTCTTTTGGTTTATATTTTCTCTTGTTAGAAGACTGTACTTCAAAAAATTTCTTTTATTGTGAGGGATTCAAAACCTAAGCAAATTTTTGATTTTTTATTGTGATGATTCTTCAGGAATTTGAAGAATTTGTTTGTTGTTTCCATTCATACTGATCGAATTTATTCTTCAGGAAACCTTCCTCGACAGTTAAAACCAAACTCATTTATCAGGTTGCATTGGTACATTGTGGTAAACTAAATTTACAATGCAATAAAAGTAGTCTCAGCTTTTTCAAATGTCTTCTGACACGATTCTTTTCTGGTGTAAACGAATGACAATTTAGAACATGTTTTCTTGTTAGCAAACATTCTATCAAGCAACTACTCGATATCATTTCATGAACGATGGTTACAACAAATGTGTCATACCAGCAAAGAGTCTGCTCTTGAAGCATTTCACTATGCACGATTCTCGAAGCTTGATTCAAGCCAGTATAATCAAATTGCTGGTGTTCGTTCGTTCGACAGATTATGTACCAAAATCATTGCGCGAGGATGACGAAAACCACGTACGATTGAAGAAGATGATTATGGATTTGAAAGTGAGCCAGGCGGCAGCTGGAATAACTTCAGAAAAGGCCTTAGATGCAATGAAGATGATGCTATTGACTGATTCAGGTGAGTAAAACATTCTCAAGATACTTCAAATATCTCTAACCTTAAGTTGAAATCTATGTATTAGTGCTACAAACCATACAAATCTATTTTGCTTTCTAAAGGAGTATATAAAGAAACTACTGAAACTTATTGTTTTGTCAGATGGACTTCTTTGACATACTACAATTCTATTCACACACAGACAGGATTTCGTAGATGAAATCAAAAATTTATTGAAATTCACATACACATGTAGTACCGGTACATTGTATCATAGTTCTGCAGTGTTCTGTATGCTGATCATTCTTTATAGCTATTAATTTCTCTTAATTTTATGGTCAATTATAACATTCTGTAAGTAGTTTTTTCCAACATTAACATATCCAGTTCCTAATTTAAGCCTTAATTATACATATTTGCATCAATTGCTGAATGTTTCACCTGAAGATAATGGATGGAAAGCATCCTAATGTAGGGTGTACAGATAACATGAGAATCCTTCATTTTCATTTAATTAATTTATTTGTTGTATCTTTATACTTTATCCAAACTGGAAGAAATAGCCCAAAATTGATTGCTACCATCAGCTCTAATGCTACGAAAGTTGCATTAGAGCTTTTTGGTAGCTGAGCATTTCATGATTTTAGTCTTTAAATTGATTTCAGGGTTTGTTTTATGTTATAATTTGTATTCATTTAAAAATATTTTTGTAGTTTTTATAATAGTTAAGAAAAGATAGGCCAAACTACAATATTTTCGTACTATCTATATATTTTTAATATGGGGTTACCTCAGTGAATTCTTTGAGTCTAGAAGAAAAGAGGTTGATAAGAATTATATATATTTCATTATGGATATGTGTAAAAATGTTAAAACAGCATTGGGATAGATTAAAGTGTTATAAAAAGAGTTTTTAGATTGAATTTTGGAATGTATCAAGGTGTAACTTGATGCCCACATTTTTTTATTAATATTAAATTAATTATTGTAAGATAAAGTAAAAGAGAGCTATGGTAAATGTTATTTACAACTGGTATTTTGTTTATTAATGAGATAGAGAGTAATTAAAGTTTAAAAAGTAGAAATTTCGATTTTTATATTTAAATGCAGTTAATGAGTTAGACATTGATAAAGAATAAATGTAAGATGGCAAGAACTGAAACAGTATTATTATATTTTAATCACATACATACATATATATGTAAACCTATGTATAAACAAGGGAAGATGTTGGTAGATTATGAATAAAACTGCATTCACACTCTAGTTTTAATGGTGCAGAATATCTTATTAACTACTAAAATATATAGACACAATGTGAATGTCATAAGAACTGCAACTTCATATGCCAAAGGTACAAAAGAGTATGACATCCCAAAAACTGTTTATCATTACTGAATCAAATTGAACTGTGAACTTTATGTAGTATTAAAATTAATAAATTATTTGAAAAAATAAAGTTTGCATTTATCTTAGTTTCTGTGGCTGCTTAAATGCATTAGAGGATAAGCTATGGTTTTCCCAATTATATTGTCATAATATGCAATTAAATATAATATATATAGAAAAATGCAAATGCTTCTATTTATTAAACAGATACATTGTGTACAGAAAGAGAAAATTATGTACAAAATTTATATACACAATAATAACAATATAAGTTTTAAACTGAGATATTTAAAATCTGTAAATAAAAATTAAAAAATATACCAAATGGATAAACTAACCTCTTTTTGCCTCAAAGCATAGCGAGCACCAGCTATTGGCAACTCAACACATTAACTCTACTTTAGAACATAGCTCAAAGACCAGTATATCTATCGACTGCCACTACTGAATCTGCATTATACTTCAGAGCTTTAGCTTAAAAGTTGTAGTCTCCTGGGCACACACAACTTGGCTCCATTTGTTCTCCCTATACTTACAAGTTAGTATTAACCATCCCTTATATCAGTGGTGGGATGAACTTATTTCTCAGGATAATTGTAAATAATTTAGTTTTTTGCAAAATTTGGCAAGATTGACTGTGAAAAAGTATTATCACAGCTGCAGTTAATCTCTAATGCTGTAGCAGATAGTTATTAAGTGTTGCCACTATTACAACAGTCGGATTTACAGTTTTACTACCAAAATGTATGCATTGTGCATAGTAAATTTCTACTGTAACATTACTAGTGACTTACTTTTTCTGGTTAACATTAAAGAGGCTTCAAAAATTAAAGGAAAAACGGCAAACTTTTACAATGGTAGAATTATTTATTGAATGAATCTATCTAATTTAGTAATTAAGTTATGACCAGATATTCTTTTAAACCGAACTAAAACCTTCCCTGTACCAGAAGATAACATAATCCAAGTTTATCCATAACTGTACAAAACACATTTAAATTTAGAAAATCTTAAAACCTCAAATAGAAATACTTGCATTACACAAAGACAAAATATTAATATGAATGTGGGAATAATTAAATTTTCTGACATCCTTTCTGTGAAACGTGTTTCCTGAACACAATCGTGACATTGTCGTAACCTATCCATTCTGATAAGGAATTATAACATTTAGAAGAATAATTAAATATGATTTTCATTAACTCTAGTCTTAATCTTTTAATATAGAAGTAAATAAAGATGCCTGTTATATTTTAAGAAATTGAACAATGATCATGTTGCAGCTTCCAGAATCAAGCTGCGTGATTCTTCACAAACATACTTGAAAAAAGTATTTCTGTGTAATTTGTCTACTGTGAGCAAGGTGGGCATTGCGACTCTAAAATGCCTTATGACGTCGGTGGATTTGCAGGGCTTTATACGTAATGATTGCCTATGCTCACATTACCCTGCCTTCACCATACTCCTGATACAAATCCTCCAGGCAGATGCATACGTCAGCCAACTCTCGCCCAAATATTTATTCGATCCTAGCCTCTGCGGGCCGAATAGCACTGAACCGAGTTTTTATATAACTGGACTGGATGGAAGATTTAATATGGTAAGTGCATCAAATATGGACACACTAACTTGGTCAAAATAATGAAAATTTCTTATTTATCTGTCTAATTGCATTAAATTTGCAGGTTGATAACACACGTAATGGTTATACACGTTTTTAACATAATTTTTTTTTATTGCGTGCTACGAGCAAAGACGTCCATATACAAATTTGTCAAAGTATATAATTTATATCATTTTAGATTACAAGATTTTTTTTATAATTATTACAATCGAGTCTCTTTTTTAAGACACTCGTTCTGTTTAGTCATCATTTGAAGAATTTATCTGCAGTGCAATACTTTTTGTAATCTACCTGTTCAACAAATTGGAATCGTCCAGCATTGTTATCTCTCGTCGTTAATATATTCAAGTTCAGTCTATTTTATATAATAATATTTTGATTTGTGTATTATTAGTTTATACATTTTTGATAGTTCTTCATCACCTTCATTTTTATTCATAGCACCAGTTTTTTTCCCCCTCCTATAATGTATTCAACAAAAAATCTTAAAATTTTTTTTCCAAAACGTCAGGTCCATTAATAACAAATGCATGTTCCTTGCCTCGATTCTAAATGATTTTTATGATTTATTTATATTAACGGAAAGTTGGCTTACCCCAAACTCTGATGATGTGTTGAATTTTATTAACAATTTGGGTTATTCACATATTGCTTTATCTCGTAATATTCAACGTGGTGGTGGAATCCTTTTGATTTTTCCCCCTTCGCTCAAACCTGTAAAAATATTTGAATATCTTGATTCCATCCTTGCTGTCAAACTTTCTATTTATAATCTAATAGTCATTTCGATATACGCCCCCCATAATAAAAGAGATTCCATTTTTAAAATTCTACATAGATATCTTATTTCTCTTTCTGAATCCCAAAATTTTAAAATTATCTTATGCGGAGACTTCAATATGCATAACATCTATTGGAATTCTAATGGCCCATATTATTCCATTATTTCGACTGAACAATTTTTCCTTAATGAAATTTTCTATTTTTTCCAACTTAAACAGGTAATCCTTTTTCCATCTCGTATTAGTAACTTTCTTGATCTTGCTTTTACCTATAATTGTGTTGTATCTACCAGTTACACACAGGGATTCAAATGTGACCATAATGCAATATGTCTAGATATCTTATTAAATAACAATAAACAGCAATCTGCCAAATACATTAATATTCCAATGTGGGCCTCATTCAATGGCACGGAGGCCTCAAAAATCCTTTGCTCCATTGACTGGACCTTCCTCAACTCGCCTATTTCTCCTCAGAAACTTACTGATATAATTTACAACTTGTTCTCTGCCACTATTAAAAAATTATTACAATTCCGTAAAATAAACTCTTCTGCCAATAGATGGCTTCCTCTACACTTAAAGAAATTATCCAATATGGTTAGAAAACAATGGAGCAAATGAAAACGTTATGGTAACCCACGTGACTTATACTTACATAGAATAATGCAACAACGTTATTACCAGGAACATCGTATTGCTTTTCTAGAATATTTTAACAGAACTGTGTCTAACTTTGCCTCTGATCCTCGTACCTTCTGGCATTTCATTCCTAACTTTTCAAAAAAAATACCTTATCACAAAAAACTATTCCAGACGATAAAATATATGATATATTTAATAATATTAAATCTAGATA